ATATTGTTTGCCGTTGTTGCTGTTGTCTTGATCTTTGCTGTTGTTGTGATATTGGTTGTTCTTGTCGTTGTAGAGGAGTAGTCATATCAATTATTTCATTACCTTCATCATCATAAAGCCGTGGTTTATTAAGTTCCAATTGTTTTAGAATACGGTAATCTTCATCAGAACGAGTCTCATTATAACGTTTTTCTTGTTTATCGTATTGTTTAAGCCACTTTTTAAGCGCTTTTTCATATTCTTCTTTGATTCTTGCCCATTCTCTTTCTTCTTCTCTTTCTTTTTGCTTCTTAAGCCACTGTTTTTTTAATTCTGATGTCTTCGGATTTTCTATTAAAATTGGAAGAACATCATCATCAAAAATTATTTCGGGTCTTGTATCTATACGTTCTAACTCTAGTGCGTCGATTTCTTGCTGTGTAGTAGCATTTTGCTTTTTAATCTCATATTTTTCATCATGCTGCTTAGTTAATTTTGCAAGTTCTTCCCCTATTTTTTTTTGTGCACTAAATAATTCATCATAGTATTGATCATCGGAATCTTTTTTTGGGTAAGCTCCAGCGTTATCAGTCGAAAGTTCTTCCTGACTTTCTGATTGTTTCGATGTCAATTCCTGATTTTCAACTGTTTGTTTCATTTTTTGTTGTGCTAATCTTTGTTGTTCAGCGAATTTTTCTTTTTCTAATTGTTCAATGTTCGAATTTCTCTCCGAAATCACGATCGCTTCATTTTCTGATGGCTTTGATTGAGGTTCCTGCACAAATACCTTGCTGACTACTGCTTTTGGCTTTTCTTTTTGGGACGAATCACTTGCTGGAATTATGGTGCCTTGATTATAAGCTGGTTTCGATGTCGATTCTTGCTCGTTTAAAACGCTGACTATTGATGGTGATTTTTTGTCTTGATGTGAATCACTTGCTGTAATTATGGTGCTTCGATCATGTGCTGATTTTAGCGGCGATTGTTGCGCGTTGACATCGCTGACAGTTGTTGATGGTGGTTTTGGTGTCGATTCATTTACAACGTTGACAGTTGAATCTGGTTTTTTAACTTGATGCGAATCACTGGATAGAATTTTGGTGACTTGATCATCTGCTGGTTTTGTTATCGATTGTTGATCGTCTATTAGGTTGAGATTTGATGGCTTTTTGACTATCTGCGAATCACTAGATTCAATTTTGGTGACTTGTTCATCTGCTGGTTTGGTTATCGATTGTTGATCTTTTAAATCGCTGACTGTTGATTCTGGCTTTTTAACTTGATGCGAATCACTTGCTGGAATTATTGTGCTTCGATCATCTGCTGGTTTCGATGTTGATTGTTGTTCGTCTATTAAGCTGAGATTTGATGGCTTTTCAACTTGGGGCGAATCACTTGATAGAATTTCGGTCGTTTTATTTTCTGCTGGTTTCGATGTTGATTCTGTCCTTATCATGCTGACCGGTGTTTGTGCCTTTTTATCTTTGTCTGAATCACTTCTTAGGATCTTCGTTGGTTCATCTTCTGCTTTTTTCGATCCATGCGTTGAGCTTCTCAACCAATTCCCATTTTTTCTTGATCCTTTATCAGATTCTCCAATTGTAGTCCCTCCCAATGTCATTTCAAACTTTTTGTCAAATTCATTTCGAAATTTATTCCTTGTGTCTATAAAGTTTTTCGACCATTCTTTCAGCTGATCCTCATTTCCGG